TGCATCAACGTTTCAGCAAGTGGCCTTATGCGGCCCACAACATTCTCCACAAGTCCATTTGAATGGGAATATGGTGGTGGCACTGCCTTGAGAGTTGGCAAACCCATCGGCAAACGTGCATTGATGACATACCTTTGCCATTGCAGTAGGGTCGGCTCATTGTCACATCTAAAGCTAAGTTCAGAGTATCCAAGCAAACCAGCAAATCCTAAGAGTTCTTGCACCATCAAACTCCACTTATTCTTGCTACGCAAAAAGGTGTCACATGAATGTAACCGCTTGCACTGTCAGTCATCACCAGGCTGGTGATCGTGGAGATTTCTTTGGAATCTGCATCCTGAGGTACAGACTTGGTGTATGCAAAATCAAATGATATGCATGGAGTGCTTGATCTCCTAGAGGCACCTGAACGCTCATGTTTGTCACTTCGAGCTCTAAAACAAACACAGCTACTGCACCATGGAGCGTAAGGAAGGTGGGTAAGAAAATGCTGTTGCTGCTCTGCAAATCAAGACGGCGTTTCAAGTTTCACTGCATTTGGAGTCCTGGTCAACTCCTGCTGGGCACGTTCAGCTGCTGCATGAACAACTTGGAGTTCCAATGCCTTTTGATGATTCAACAATCTTGCAAAACATTTCACCTTTGAGCCTGAAGTGCTCAAACCGTAGTGGGTAAGGCCAGCACGAGGGGCCCTCAAAGAGCTTGATTCTGAAAGTTCAACACCGTTCACAACTACCATGTCAACTGGTGATGGTGTCAACCAATCGCCCTTGCATAGGGACATCAGCTCCACCTTGAATTTCCCCACCATCAATTTCTAATCCAAGCACTTCATCCTCAGGCGCTTGCAAGATGTCATCAGCAGCATCTCGACGTTCTGGGTCAGGAAACAAAGGAGGTTCCCCACCTTGAAGCTTGAAACCCATCAACACTGGGTCCTTTTCACCTTCAGTTATGATTGTGAGCAGGTCTCTGAGGCCATCATAGCCGTAGACATCAGCACCTAAACCAATCAAACCTTCCAATGGTTCACACAACTCCAAAACATGCCATTCACCATGCTCACGTAGGAGGGTTGTTCGAGCAAGATTGCCACTCATCTGCGGTCTAACCATTGTGGGATCTTGGAAACAACTGGCATGATGGCGTCCAACACCACAGTTGCGCTCATCTAGATTCCAGCCAGTTGGACCAAGACGCAAATCTGGAGTCACATCGGCTTTCACTGCACAAATTGAAGCAGGCTGTTGCACATCAGCTTCAGTGGGTTCCTCATTGATTACTCTTATCCAACCCTTCACAACCATGGACCTGTTTTGAAGTTCAATTGGTACTTTCACTCCGGCAGCATGAATAAGTGTTTGCCCACAGGGGTCAATTCCCCATCCAGCTTCCAACATCTTACCATAGCAAAGAATAGGTTGATGAACTTGTGAGCTAATTGCAACCCTTTCACGCAAAGTGATCAACTTGCCGCTTTGATCCATCAGTTTTACTTCCACATCACGCATGTCTTCAACAGGAATGATGCGAACTTGTGCATCATGCAGCTTTGCAACCTCACCTGATGCTTTCTGACCTGATCTTGCAAACTTTGAAGGAAAAAACGGCTGCATCTGCACCACTGTCTAAAAGGATTGACTTCATGTCTCCTTCACCAGGCATTTCAGTAACAACTGCACGCACATCGCCATAAAATTTCATCCCCATCATCACCAATATAAAAATGCAATGCTCTCAAAGGACTGACATTCGACTTTGGTGAAGTTGGAGGACTCACGCGCAAATCAAAAACAAACTGCTCTTGATCAGCTTCTGCATGCTCATTCAACTCAGAAATTCGTGAAACTCGATATTGGGTAGGTTGATTTGGAGGAGATTGCTGGGTCTGAGGCTGTTGACCAGAATGTTGCACTGAGTTTTGGCCTTGATCTGGTTGACCTTGGCCTCCATGAGAAGCATTCTGAACGTTTCGAACACTCTGATTTTGCCAGCAGTCACGCGCATCGTGCCCTGACTTTCCACAGACATAGCATGATTTGTCTCCCTTTCCACCCTTCTTGCCCTGGGTTGGCACTGATTTGCCCTTTCCAGACTTGCCTCCACCATCATAGCTGGAGTTCTTGCCTTTTCCTTTGTCCTTGCTCTTTGACTTTGATTTGCCTTTTGCATTGCCCTTGTCAGCTTTGCTCTTACCTTTGCCTCCTTTTCCACGTCCACGACCTTCAATGCGGTCAATCTCCATCGGCACAGTGTCGTTGTTGTTGGTACCTCCAGTTGTATCATTTGAAGATTGAAGCAAATTGCTCCATTTCTGATGCGCTCTATCCCATTTGAGAACTTCTTCAGGTAGTTCTGGATACTTGCAGTTTTCTTTGAGGTTCAAACTCAAATGAGTCTTCAGGGCACCAGCACCAGTTATGCAACGTAGCATGATTGCACACTTTAACTCATCCCCCAAAACAGTTCCAGCCCTACGCGTTTCCTCGAAGGCATCCTCTAAGCGCAAAACCTGTGCTTGGAGCGATTTTGACACCTGGAAGGCAGGCCAAGCAGTTACTGAAGACAGCAAAGCAAGTCCTCTGGCCTGGGTGCTGGGTCTCATTGACAGTGTGAGCTGTCTGAGAGCTTCAAATCCATTGCCAGCCGGGGCTGCACGCGCAATGCTTAATGCCCTATTTTTCACAAGTCCAGCAAGAAGTCCACCGAGTTTTGCAGAACGTTGTCGAACTTCTGCAGGTGCGGTCTCCATGTTCAGTTCTTTTGCAGGTTCTTTTATGATTTGTTCCAATTCCGTCTGAAACCCTTCATCCACGCAAAGCAAATATTGATTAAGCTGCCACAACCAGTCCCTATAGTGACGCTGATTTTGCTCTTGATTGGCATAATCAAAAGCCGGTGGTTTTGAAATCAGCTTTGACCAGTCTGCAGAAGGTTTCCCAGAAGAAAGACCTGATGTCGAGCTTGCTGCAGCGGCTGCTGTAGCTGTCGTCGTAGAAGCTGCAGCCTTGGCGGCTGCTGCTGCCTGCTGTGTAGCCTCTGCTACTTGGAGTAGAGCTGCTTGGAAAATGTTTGCATCAAATTGTGGTTGCGCCATGCCAGCGCTCTTCCAGCTGCCCCCCAGAAATTACCAATGCACAGTCAAAAAAATCCCTGTATAGCAAACGGTAAAACAATCCAGAGTATGTAGCTGAAACTCCACGCCAGTCCAATGTATTGCAGCCCAAATTGAAAAAAATTCACCACTCACGCTTCAAGGCAAATCCAGTCTTTCAGTAAGCCCTCTGCAAATCCACCAAATGGAAAATGAGAGTAGCTGGAGCACAAATTGGCTCCGCTACCATGCGAATCCAAATGGTGCAGCACGGACCTTTTTGCTTGATCCACAGGGCCTACAGTATTCAATGCATGAACTGTCCATGACCAATGTGAAAACTGCCAAAGAGGAAATTGCAATGAGTGTCATCCTTGCGCAGGGGCCATGCATGGACATGAGCAGTGTGTTAAAACTTTCGGACTCTGCCATTTTTTGGACACGTGTTAGACTGTGACAATGAAACCCACAAGCATCATTGACCATTCAAGTCTGCCTAGCTAAATCCCTTTGGTTTCGTCCTCGGCGTGTGGAAGTTTCGGAAAAACATGGAAAAACATAAAAGACATGGCCAGAACACATGGCCATGGATCCCCATGGGCCCAGCTCAAGAAAGACTGTGCATGGGTCAACTGTGATCAAATCAACATGAATTTGATCGTTTTCGGGCATCGTGCAAACCTTGCGTAGGCTCCTGGATCGCACTTCTGTTTTTCTTTTGAGGTATGGCTGCCGGTTTCGGCGCATGAATTTGACAACTTTGAAACATGAAACCATGGAAAGGTGTTAAGGAATAGGAGAAAATGAAGGTAGAAATTGTTCACAGTGGCTGAAACCACGGGCCTGAGATTCATGAAAAGTAAGCGGTGAAGTGCATGCACAGGGTGAAAACATGAGACTGAAATTCATGAAAAATAAGTGGTGACACTCTTGACTGAAATTCATGAAAACTAAATGATGACATTCTTGCACAGGCTGAAAACATGACACTGAGATTCATGAAAATTCAATGGTGACATTCTTGCACAGGATGAAAACCTGGGGCCTGAGTTTCATGAACATGAAATAGCACAAGATGAAAACCCGGGGCCTGAGTCTCATGAGCGCTACTCTGGGATACCAGAAACGTCAAGCAAAGGTTTTCATTGGTTGCAGTTTGTACTTCGCACACCATTTTTATAGAAGGATTTTAGCCCGCACTGGGGGGTAAAAACTAGGTTGCCCCCCTAAACCTGTATATTTGTTACACAAACCGTTTTTTTCTGATTTAACGACCATAAACATCCATAAACGTGACATTTTTCATTTTCTTTTTCATTTCCTCGAGCCGGGACTGTGGACCCGGAGGGCCTGTCACCCCCATTGCGTTTAACGGTCATTTTGTTATATCTTCGCAAAAAATTAGCTCGGCAAACTGTAACGTTGTTGATGTAAAATTGTGTCGGTGGATTTAGCTTGGGAATAAAACAGATGAACCTCGCCGTCATATAAATTTACCTGGCCAAATTCTGGGAATTATCCCTCGCAGGTATAGTAGAACTAGATGTCAGAGTTTAAGTATGTCAGAAATTATGTCAAGATAATGGATATTAAAAAAAATGGTGGTTGTTTTTTGGATGACCGGTTGATGCCCGAGGTACATGTATTCAGTCAGGTTTAGGGTGTCACACAAAACTAAACAGAATATTTGGAATCAAATGGCACCGCGAAAACAAAAACTGCGCGGGCGAAAGGTGTGCGAAAACAACCGCCTACAATTTTTAGGGAGCAGACCTACGTGGGTACCCGTTTTGTCGACTTGTCGGGCGATTGAACCATTTAGCAAATTGTGGGCCCACGTTTTCCCCAAAAAGACGGTCGTCATAGCCATACCATACCAGCGTTAAATTCGCATCATGTCTTGAAGCATTTGTCAGCGTGGGTGTGCAATTGTTTTTGTCACTGCCAGCGGAGCCATGGGTGGCCCTTGTCGGATTGTCGAGCCTGGCAAACCTCACACGCAAGCACCGCCATGCACTGATAATTTTCAGGTCGGGCAATTTTTTAAATGTGAATTCATTTCATTTTCTTCGTTCCCAATGGAGGATTAATGTGGGTCATAGCAATCCTTGATCAATATTGTCAGACATTTCCTGCAGGTGAAGCAGTTCATGTTCGACGGTCGGGAATGGGAATCAGTTGAGCAATGCTACCAAGCCATGAAATTTACCAAAGTGGAGGTGCAAGAGACTTGGCAAACAAATTCGTCCAGAAACAACTGGCTATGTTTGTGGCGTATTTTCATGTGCACCACATAACAGGGTGCCCTACTTCCTCATGAAATTGAGGAAAAACTGCGGGCGATCAAGAAGAAACCCAAAGAAACTTGGACAGCAACAACGTGGCGTAGCCTCAAAATTTGCCACCACGAAGGCATGACAGAAAATGAGAGGATTGCGATGTGCTTTCAAAATTGTGTACATATGATTATATGATGGTGTTTTTAGTAATTACTGTACCAGTGTGATTGCGTGTTCATTTCCCGATGGAATTGCAAAATTTCAACATGGCCGACTTGTTGATGCTACGCTTGTTGGCCGGAAACGTGAACCACAGATTAAAATTTTTAATGTCGAGCAATGCGCAACCTTCCCCACAACCAACTCATTATTGCCATTGGTCTAGGCACCATTTAATTGGCGAACATTGGTGTAACATTGGTGAAAATATTTCAGCTGTAACTATGTTGGATTGCCAAACCTGGAATCATGTTGAAACATGGGGAATTGGAGGTCCAAGTTCCTCTTCTTTGTTTAGCTTTGGGGAATGAAAATGCGTTTGGTTCGAACACCGAGGACAAAGACTCCAAGCATGGCATGGATGTTTGGAATGAAGGTCAGCGCTACACATGTCTCCGCCCCGACTGGGACGCCGTGAAGGCACCAGGAATTTGAACGAGATGGTCAACTGAAATGTTTTTGTTTTTTCTCATGTGTCTATCTTTAATCCTTTTGAACTTTTAACTCATGATCCATTGTTGGGAAGTGCGACGGGAGAGCTATCTTGCGATATTCACCCACGTCTATGTTTCTAATTTCAAAGGCCACTCAGATTGTCAAAACAGGTTGGGGTTTAAATTATGATATGATATCAACAGTTGGTGAATACCGGTATGAGTTGCCTCCAGAATTCCAGGGGGTTAACCCCCTAAGGAGCGTTGATTTTATGTCCTTCGAAAAACACGAATTTGTTCAAATGATGCTTTGGGAGTTCCCCCATTTTTCAACAGAACAACTGTTGGAGACCTCTGAGTCGTAAGATCTGATTTTTTGGAGAGTTTAGATGCCCAGAACATAATTTGAGCATCTCTGGGAGTACATTCCTGATTCTTTAGTGATCCCTGATTTTCTAGAGAGGAAATCTTTCCCAATCCCCTTTCGAGCATTTGAATGGGCTGAAGCTCCCGAGCTGGAGCGGACGATTTTGGCATATTTTAGCCCTACCTTGGATTTTGCCATAGCCTCACAACCTCAATCCAACCATCCCCTGTGGAATTTCCCCTGTTAAATCAGTGGGCGGGGGAGGCCATGAAACAGGCATTTGCTTCGACACATATTAGGTGTTTTTTTTCTACACGTGTTAGGCGCTCTCCACCCAGAGGACCTTTAGAAAATGGAACTCCTGGGGTTCCACATGTGGAAACCCTTAGAAAATCAAATCATTGGTGTGTTTATTCTTTGCGTTCTCTGTAAATGATTTTAAGCGCAACTGAAGTTAGAAAGAGTCACTTGTTTCTTCTATTTGTTTTTTTTTGGATTGTTTGGACCTCTAGAGAATCAAAGTGATTGGTGTGACCCATAAACCTGTTGGATGCCTTGAATATTGAAGCACATGGAGTAGGCAAATACATCTGGTTTTATAATCGCCCAGCACATTAGGTGTCTTAGAAAAAAACATTTCTTGAAACGTACGTGAAACAATATTCCAATTTGATTTACTAGATGTCATTTTGATTTTGATCCAATCACTTCAATATTCCATATAGAGGCATCTTGGAGGTGGCGGTTTGCGACCACCTGTTTTCGATCTAGAAAATCAATGTCGGGGGGGATACGCTGAATTATATAAAGGCGGATACCTAACCATCCTGGAACCACTACCTTTTCTTTTTAGTTCTCGTGTTTGCCTAAGTCGCCAAGTTTTTTTTGTGCAAACGATTAAATATCTTGACAAAAATTACATATTCCCGTGGTTTGGGTCTGTTTGCAGCCATTTTGCATTTTTGGCCTGCAATGCTGGTACAGCAAGATATCAGTTTTCAAGTCGAACCGTCCATATAGCTTGAAAAACCTCAACCACTCGACATGATTTTCCTTCAAGTAGGCATGATTTCCAGCAACATGTCATGAACAGCATTTTTCTTTTTCAAAGCCTATGAAATTTTGCATCCTTTTGTGAGTATATTTTATTGAAGAGGCAATCAACAGCCACCGACAAACAAACAACATAATTTTACAATTTTGCATTTGTTGAAATGATTTTTTTGTGGGCTGTCCTGGGCGACTTTTAAGGGGTGATACGTCCAGTGAACTGGGCATTTTCGAAAAGTTCGATCGAACAATTCGAAACCGCACGCTGGGCTGGATGTTGGGCTCTAGAAAAAGGGTAGCAGTAACTTGAAGTGGTTTACAACATATTTAATATCGTATTTGCAAGAATATGCAATTCAAGTACGGCGGTGTTTTTTTAAGGAAAAATGATAAACATAGCTTCTAAAATGCATTTCTTATACGTGGCCATTTTTCTAGGATACCAAAATTGGTTTGATGTCTGTTGCTAGATTTTCTTGGGTCCCTAAGTACCACCTACATTTTCTACTAGAAAATCACATGTGCCAACCGGACCAGGTGAACTCGTACAGGGATGTTGGTGATGATTCATTTTTTTAAATTTCAGCAACATGCAACATGTTTTCACATGCGGTACAATGACTAGTGCCTCGGGCGCGCATGCAACCTATTTTTTTTGATACTGTAGGTGGAAATGATGTATCGTGCCAACTTCGCAAAGTTCAAGCAACACTCCGATTTGCAAGAGGACAGGTGGCATGAACCCTGTGTGTTTTTCATTTTTGGCGACATTCGCGGTTTGAACCTTTGTATGCCATTGTCTAAATGCAGCGTCACCCAGCTACATTCAATTGCTAACATCTGAGTGTATACATGTGTATACTATATATATAGAGGGGGGGCATACATTTATGACATCCGTTTGTTGTGATGTTGGCGGGCTTCCCGTTTCACCATGATGTTTGAATTTGTTCCCATCCATGGACGGCCCTCCTACTTGTACATGCATAAGCCAGCTATAGTCGTGCTGTGGAGTGCAGACGAACCCAGAACGCGGCATACTAAATCTTGCGATTGTATTGAAAGTAGAATTTTCATTGGTAGCCGGCCTAGACCAAACAAATTTCAATAAAGTAAACGGAAAAATGTTACTGAAGAAATGTGGCAACTCGCCGGCTACATTTTTGAGTTTTGGCACATAGGAAATCATTGCGGGTCAGACTTCATTCAATGTTGCACCCAGTATGGATATCTCAAATTTAGTTTGACCGGCTGACACCACCAAGCAAGGGTTTGCTTCCTATGAGTCCAGCGCAGGAATTGTTGTCCCTGGGAAATGTGGAGTTGGTCGGCGCCCCCAGCACCAGCTGGAAAACCAAGTCTGGGATGGTGAACTGGCAGCTGGGCAGCATGGGGCGGACGGGCAAAACACACACAGACACAGACACAGACACAGAGACACACACACACACATGTGTGTGGAGTTTTAGTTGACTCGACTATTGCTATTTGAAGGGGTTTTCGAGGTAAAAGAGGCCGGTCCCCTTTGAGCCTGTGGTTTCCTTATTGTTTTCCCGAGGAGCGTTTGGAATGGACGACGCTTGGATGCAAGTAAGATGTATTAAGATGTGCTTGGTTAGTTTGACTACTTGATTTGCACCTACTCTGGAAGCTCCCGTGGCTGGGACTATCAGTGTCTATCATATTGATTCATATTGAAGTTTGGCTCGCCACAATGGCAATGGTTGTTATATTTTTTCAACCTGGGATTGACTTCCAAGATTCATGTGATTTTTTCCATGTTATATGCGCCATAGCGAGTGATTGCGTTGAGCCAAGGAATCCAAACACGAATCCGAGAAGAACTCCGCCCGGCTAGCGAGCAAAGAAAAGACATGTTGGCTGCTTTGGTAAAGGAATTCGAGGCTGGAAACAGCTGCCGTGTTTCTCGATGATTAACAACCGGGGTTGTTGTTGTCGTTACAATATATTTTTTGGTGGGCTGAACATCGCCGATGTGCGCTTGTCATCAGATCAGCCGCGCATGAGCCAGCACCATCCAGTACCCTCACCTAAGCCTCAGAATGGTGGTTAGTTCCCCCGCAAAAAATGATGTTTATGGAAGAAATATGTTCCCCCCCAAATTGGTTTTGTTCTCACTGGGGTTCGTCTGAACATGGGGTATATCGTCTATTGGGTAATTAATCCTCGTAAGCGTGTGCAGTTTGCCCCTTGAAATCCTTGTCGGAGAAAATTCAGGTCTATGGTCACATTGCATTGTTGGTCAGTTTTACAAACGTACAGGCATGTACACAACTGATAGATACTTAGATTAAGGATAGATGGAATATATGGTATAGATGGCATAGATGGAATAGAGGGACCGATGTAGATGGATAGGTCGATCCATTGATCGATGGATGGACGGAGGGATAGATGTTCCATTGTATCATATCCCATAATCATCCATGATTCTAGAGGCAACATTCCCATATTCAGAAAATCTTCGCATACCATGTTTTCATCGTACTCCAGACCTGGGTTTTGGTATGTTACTTTGATAGGCATTTCAGCTCAATCTGGAGGGAACAGTTGGCCCACGGCGAATCCACTGAATGCCCCTCCACAGCTTTCTATCCCCTATTTCGTTCCAAAGCAGCTGTGGACGTTCAATGAATTGAAGGCTGCTTTGATAAGGAAGTTTCCTCATTTGTCTACCGAAGAAGGACAGGGTTGTCAAAGGTAACGTTTTTAAAGGTTGGCTGAGTAAAAATTAGCAAGTTTCTTCCCCGGGACCTCACCCAAGGTGAACTCGGAAAAATAGAACCCACTGGGCCTGCCCCTGGAAGTTTGGGCTGGCTTTGGGATTGGAATTTTGGTTCTGGCCCCGAAATTTCCCTATGTGGTCTCTATACCAGCCACGCATACTCGGAATTCTTCGCATTCCACAAATTCTTCGCACTCCAGCGAGGGCATCGCACTCCACAGCTAGGGACGTACACATACTGTAAAATCCACGCACTCTGCAAGATCTTCGCACTCCATAAAATCTTCGTACTCGGCGATTTTCTCGTTTTTTCTGTTTTTTGTTTTTTTTTTCGTTTTTTTTTTTTTGGCTAAAATCGCCTGGAATCACGTTTTCTGGAATATGGGCAAGGTAGCGGTTTCGCGTGAGACGTCTGTAGTTTCACATACTATCGCATTCCAGGCCATTTTGGCCAAAAATGACCAAAAATAAAAAAAAGAAAAAAAACTCAGCAGGGTGAAATGTGATAATTTTCTGGTATATGATGGAAAAAACTGGTGTTGGATCCATGGGGAAGGTCGAAGGGGGCCACGCATACTGTTTTATTTTCGCATTCCAGAAAATTAGCGCACTCCAGGGGTGGCATCGTACTCTATCGGTGGAATTGTTTTGCACAGAAGAAAACAGGATTGTCGATGATTTGTGTTCCCAGATCCTGTTGTGCAGAGCTCTTTGCGGGACCACAAAGATGTCAAGAAAGATGGGGATGGCGCTGCTGATGAAAGGCCAGCCAAGCGTGCCAGAACATAAGCTTAAAGCTTATGAATTGGGTTTTGAGATCCTGAAAAGTGTAGATGACAAATTCCCATAAGAACATTATTAATCCATTTTTGGAAAGCTCGGCTCAACATTATTAATTATGACATTTCCAGAAATTGTTGAAAGTAAGGATCTTCTTTGGGGAGGAACATGTGCAGTCGACAACGTACGTGCCGGAAGAAAAGGAGTACTTGGCAAACTGTATGAAATACAAATTTCACCTGAAAGGGGTCTTCGCAATTCCCTGAAATTTCCCAGCTATTTTGGCATGGAATATGTTCGGCCCTGGAATATGGGCAAGAAATTGCTAGAATGATGATAAACTATGTTCGTCATCATTGGTTTATTCCGCTGTGAAAAATTATTCCTCAGTCCCTTGGCACCAGGACTACCTGACGACCGAGGGTGGTGCTACGTTGCCCATCCCCGAGGTGGATGGGGCGGCCGTGGGCACTGCGGCTGCCGCGGCTTCAACGGCTGCCGCGGCTTCAACCGCCGTCCCGGCAAGCGAGGTGGCGACGACGGCGACGACGGCGACGGCGGATACGGCTCCGGCATCCTGAGGATCTGCGAGCCAAGCAAACGCCTTTTTTTACAGTGATGCTTGCTGGATATGTTTAGATATGTTTATAAATCAATAATAACACACACGCACACAAATATATATATATATATACACACACATACACATGATTGTGAGGTGTTAGGTGATACAGGTGATGAATCTTCATGATACATATGTAATATCATCTGTAGATCTAGCATGACCTAGCATGTAAAGCCAATATGTAATATGTATTGTTTTTTGTTTTCAAGGCTGCAGTGTCACATCATTTCACTTTTTTCGACCCGGAGTCGACGTGATGTCACATGCGATCTGCGTGGCTCAAGACGAGCACGACTTAAAATAGCACACCGCGGTTTTCAAATCTGTTTTTTGGAAACTTGCAACATGAGTCGTGACTTGAGACACAGTGACAAAGTGAATCACATCTGTTATGTGAGAGTGCCAATAACAACAATCGTGCATTTGAACATCTCTCATGCTGCGTGGTTGCATCGCATGCCTGCAGTCTTTGGGCCCTGGAGTAGCTACCCCCGGATCCCACCTGGATGTGCAGCATGAGCAAAGTATCAACCACCCCCGAAACCATCACTAACCAGCCGCTACTTGCTTTACATGATCAGTTTGCCGATTTTTTGTCTTCGACTTCTTACTTTAATCCCCAACAAGGCGTTGGAAAACACGTTTTTCTACAGGATCATCTCCCTCTTTTCTAGTCGCAGATCGTTTTGGAGAATGCTAATCGTGACCTGTATCAAAACCATGTCATTGTTTGGTGATGTTCGCACATATCCCTCGTGGACACCCAAAACAACATGTACCACAACCCGCCACAACCCGCAAAAAAACAGATCAGTCAGATCCTACTAACTTAGCGGGTGAACTGCTTTCTATCCTTGTATATGGGGATGATATCTTGTCCAGCAGTTTTAGCGCCAAAAGCAGCACCCATGCCGCATGGCCGTGACTGCTGAACCGACCTCAGATGCCCTGACCGGTGTTTGATGCTGATGTGTCCATGAAAAATTGAAGAAAAATGGTAATTTGACTGCCAAACATCTGACGATTTAAAGATTGCAAAAATGGTTGTTACCTGGATTATGCCAGCTGGTTTGATCATTGATAATATAATTATATTCATTGGGATTCTGGAAGAAAGAAAACCATTCAACTGGATTTTTTCTTGACAGACTGTCATGAACTTGAACTGGACAATGGCCATTTGGATTCAATTGGCACTTCCATCACCGCTTCCATCCTTCAGCTGACTTAGCCCACTTCCATGGGCGCTAAAAATCAACATCAAAGTATCTACAACATCTAAATTCAAATAGAATCAAAAAAATCGACCAACATCATCTAATCCAGGCATCTTAGTTCCATATCATTCCATATCCATGTTAAGACATGAATATGTGGAATATCTCCACCACATTCCATCCATATCTTCTTTAAATGCCTCCAGGCCAATGGAGCGGTGCCCTTCGGAAAGACCCCGTTGCCACGGTTGGTGTCTGCAATACCCAGCATCAGCGCCGGGCGGGCCTCGCCGGCCCTGGATGTTCTGGATGATAGGGTTATGGCCGGTAGATCTACAGTTCGATGGAATTCTAGAGCAAGTTATGTCGGGCCCACCCAATATTCTTCAGAATCCATGTTTTTTTTCATCTTTTTTTGGTGCGGTGATGTCTTGCAAAGCAATTTTTGCGTATAGTTCTACGTGCTATTTGTATCTATTTGTGTGGCGGATATTCCAAGGCACTTCACTCGACCAGATCAGCCAAAGAAGGCAGGCGGCGCGCTGGCGCCTCAGCCCCTGCAGCATGATAGGAGCTGCTTGTCCTTTGAGAATTTGTCTCGGAAGGCCGTAAGATTATTTACTTGATACATTTCACTGTGCACTAGGGGTTTGGGGAAGTTGTCCGAATTTGTCCGAGCTAGATTCACCGCCATGCCTATCAGGTATCACTTGGATATGGCTCACAACTGAGGTTTCCTGTGCTGATCTGGGCCAGGCACCCAGGTTTTTCCCTGGTTTGTTTCCACCTGCGATAACCGGTAGCCAAGAGGCAAATGATGGCAAGTGGCATGCCCAGCCCATCTGTTCTTGCTACAAGGGTATCAAAAATGGGAACTATCATGAAGCATCTAATTTTGCTGGGGGGTTGTTGTCCTATTGGTTGTGCAGGAGATGCTGTTCCAAAAAATGACTGGACCAATGGACAAAGGGGTCTCGGGAAGGCGCTTTGTCCAAGGGGGTTGGAATCCTTCAAGCTACAAACAATTTCGAACATTTCAAACAGTTGTTCAGTTTTCAGAGACCGTCGAAAGTAAAACTACTTTCAAGTCACTTCTTTGCAATTGTTCAAATGGCTTAATTCTGCCATCTTTTCAGACAACACGCGTTCAAATCATATCTTCCTTCTGCTTTACTTTTTTTGTGTTCAGAGACTTTAGAATGGGAAAATATGTTCATGTTGCGTTTTTCCTTTTCTTCCACTCTATGATCAGATGGTTTCCACAAGTTGAACTTCACAAAGCATCCGCTCCTTTGTCACACATACAGGGGCTGCAGGAGCATGGAAAATCACTGTCAGAGACAGTGGAAAGGACAACCGGTGCAAAATCTTTCGCTTTTCCACTTTTCAATGACTTTTTGAAAACCATTGTTTCCCTGGTGCCACCAGGATCTGGCCTGAGCTAACCATGGCCGTTACCCTGCGGCAATCTAACATGGCAATGGAAAACCAATGTGATCCCCACGTGTATAAGGGAAACTCCATTATACCCCATTATGTGGCATTGAAAATAGTGATAAAATTCCCACTGTTTATAACCGGTGCTATCCCATGCGTAACCCTGTGAACTAGCCGAGGGTCACTCCAGTAATCAACCATGCCAAATCTTCATGTCTCTGCAAGTTGTGATTCCTCTAGCAAGCCTCTAAACGTTGCCTTCTCACCAGATGCCTCCTTGGGGGTGCAGTTCCAAAGATACGTGGGTATATTATGGTATATTATGGTACAGTGGGCCACAATTGTAGAGCATACATCCCGACTTGTGGTGGTGAAGCCACCATGAATTTCCCATTCTTTATATCCCCACTATGCATGTCCCCATCAGATCTCCATGTAACGGTTAGTTGATACCTCAATTCTCAGACACATCCAAGAATCTTATTGTGTGCTGTTGATTTGCCCTTTGATCTTACATACTTCTCATATGAGCCCCCAAAATGAATAGACCGAAAACTGAACCATGGTGTTTGGGGGTGGTATTGAATATTAGGGGGAAAGGACTGATTATAATCATTGGATATTACTTTATGTCTAGTGTACACCGTAATCCAAATTGCAATCAAAGCCATAAGATTATACATTGCCACCATTTAACTCAATATTATTCATCACTTCATGCTCCAACTAATTATATCCAATTACCTTCTGGCAAGTTAAAGGAGCTTTAGGCAATCACCAATTGTTTTTACAGGAAAATATGTTATTAGTGGGCCGTTTTCCGTAGCTACGCTAAATTACCGGAGGATATATTATCCTCAGGTTGCATTTTAAATCCACCATTTATAGTTGATTTTCCGATAAACAACAGCTTTCTGATTTTCCATCGCCGCCTTTGAGTCCCATCGGGTCTTTGGGGATATTGAGGATAAAGGGAAACTGACCAAAACGATTCGCATGGATTTTCTATGGGGGAATTAATCCAGAAATTTATGGTCCAGATCAAGAAACTGATTACCAGATCCCCACAAATCATCATTTTTCTAGGTTAGATCCCCATCAATCACCATAAAAATCACCAACAAATCAGATTAATTAGATAGATTTAAATAGGTACCCTCCCTCAGATTTCTCCATACCCTCCGATGAACCGCCCAGGAAGTCGCCCTCCGCAGCTGGCAACGCTTCTTTCCCCGCAGCCAGGGTTTTCGGCTGCGCGCAGGGGACCACAGGAAGAGCATCAAGAGCAATAGCAATAGACTCAATATACGCCAATAGCAATAGATACCCACATCAGAAAACCGTAATATACCGTAATGTCATATAAAAATATCAACATCATGAAACCAAGATCCATCATCAGTATCATGTCTAGATCAACCTGGAAAACCAGAACGCTGTTTTTTTAATTGCAGGTTTGGCTATTCTTTTGTTGGCAGCTACATTAAACTCACCAACAAAAGCAATGCACCCCCTCTACGTGCCAATTGTTGTCCTGAAATCTTGGACTTGTCGGAATGGTTCCAACAGTCTGAGTGCCATGGTTGTAGATGCAGTAATTATTTGAGGCAAGATGTTGATTTTTTCAACATGACGTTGAAAAAATGCTCGTATGTCATGGCTTCAAATCTGGTGGCGAACATGGCAGCATTTGGGTCCAGATTTGGGTATTCCATCATGATTCCCAATTTAATTTTATGACGGAGGCAGTCGGAGGATTCCGGAACCCGGGGCTGACAAAACTGAACAACCCTTCACAATCTAAAACTCAAATACACATTTGGATCCAGAAAAAACGTTTGCTACGGGAAACATCTACAACTACTTTTATTTATGAACAAAATAGCTTCCATACCTAGCCGTTTCTACAGCTGTCGCTTCGTACATATACACATACATACATGCATGCATCCAGACAGACAGACAGACAGAGAGACAGGAGGCAGGCAGGCAGGCAGGCAGGCATGCATCCATCCATCCGTCCGTCCATCCATCCATCCATACACACATACACACACACATATATATATACGTACATACATACATAACATACATACATACATACATACATACTTACTTACTTACTTACTTTCCTTTCCATTCCATTCCGTTCCATTGCATTGCATTGCGTTGCGTTGCGTTGCGTTGCATTGCATTGCATTGCATTGCATGCATACATGCTTACATGCATACATGCATGCACCCATACATGCATACATGCATGCAGACATACAGAATCATACAGACATACAGGCATACAGGCATACAGACATACAGGCATACAGGCATACAGACATACAGACAGAAAGACATACAGACAGACATGCAGACATACAGACATACAGACATATAGACATATAGACATACAGACACACTTACACACAGACATACATGCATACACATAATGTATCTTTCTAAACATCTATCCATCTATCAATCCGTCCATCTATCTACTTATCTATCTATCTGTTAATTTTTCTATCTCTACGTCTACATATTTTTACAACGTATGTGGACAAATAAACATAGACATAGAGATAAAACCCGTGGAAGGGTTGGTATTATTGAACCATACATGTACCAGTCAGCGCATTGTTTTTTTCGGGTAATATGGCGGGAAACCATGTTGTATCCTCGGTAATCATAGGGGTTTCCTACAAAGTTTTCCTTCATCCAGTTTTGTTGGAAATATGGAAGCATGGATATTCCGATATTCCCTTTCCCGCTACGAATTAAACATACCAACAGAACCCCTGGCCTGTGGCGGATTTTTTCATTCTGGGGCCATGGTTGTTGACAGGACGGGATGGGATTAGTTGACCAACAAACCTGGAAATCATGCCCTCTGACCAACAAACGCATGGAAAAGATGGACCAGTGGCAATTTGTTTCATAGACGATTTGCTCCATCCATTTCTTGTATGAAATTCATTGCAAGGATAGGAGACATGTTGGGATGGTAATCCACCTGGATCAGGCGCACCATTTTCCCATGGGTTTGTCAGTCCCTTGGCATCCCTTAATTGCATATTATCTGATTATATAATATTATTTGATTATGATTCTAATCGTTCCTCACCTGCCAGGTGAGGGTCTCTAGGTTTTAACAAAGGTGCAACTCCTCACTTCTTCTCATTCTTATCCTTCTTTTTCTTTTTCTTCTTCTTCTTCTTCTTCTCCATCTTCTTCTCTTCATCTTGTGCCTATTCCTGTTCCGCCTGGTGTCAGCCTTGTCATCCCAAGCTCTGGATGCTGTGGGCCATGCCTGGGCCACAACACCAAATCGCCAGCTCCAAGAAAGTATGTCAGAAGAGATGCCGGATAGAATGCCAGAACGAATGCCAGAAAATATGTCAGAAAAGGTGCCAGACAGAATGCCAGAACGAATGCCAAAAAGTATGTCGGAATAGATGCCAGATAGAATGCCAGAACGAATGCCAAAAGTATGTCACACAGAATAGATGCCAGATAGAACGGCAGAACGAATGCAAGAAAGTATGTCAGAATTGATGCAATAGATGCCAGATAGAACGACCGAACAAATGCCAGAAAGTATGTCAGAATAGATGCCAGAACAAATGCCAGAAAGTATGTCAGAATAGATGCCAGATAGACTACCAGAACAAATACCAGAAAGAATGTGAGAATAGATGCAATAGAATGCCAGGATAGAATGCCGGAACGAATGCCAGAATATGACAGAAAAGATGCCAGATAGAATGGAAGAACAAATGCCAAAAAGAATGTCAGAATAGATGCAATAGATGCCAGACCAGATAGAACGCCAGAACGAATGCTAGAAAGTATGTCAGAATAGATGCCAGACCAGATAGAAGGCCAGAACGAATTTCAGAAAGTATGTCAGAAGAGACGCCAGATCGAATGCCAGAACGAATGCCAGAAAGTATGTCAGAAAAGGTGCAAGACAGAATGCCAGAACGAATGCCAAAAAGTATGTCAGAATAGATGCCAGATAGAATGCCAGAACGAATTCAAGAAAGTTTGTCAGAAGAGATGCCAGATAGAATGCCAGAACGAATGCCAGAAAGTATGTCAGAAAAGGTGCCAGACAGAATGCCAGAACGAATGCCAGAAACTATGTCAGAATAGATGCCAGATAGAATGGCAGCACGGATGTCAGAAAGTATATCAGAAGAGATGCCAGATAGAATGCCAGAAAGTATGTCAGAATAGATGCCAGATAGAATGCCAGAAACTATGTCAGAATAGATGCCAGATAGAATGGCAGAACGAATGCCAGAAAGTATGCCAAAAAAGGTTCAAGACAGAATGCCAGAACGAATGCCACAAAGTATTTCAGAATAGATGCCAGATAGAATGCCAGTACGCGTGCAAGAAAGTTTGTCAGAAGAGATGCCAGATAGAATGCCAGAAAGTATGTCAGAAAGTATGTCAGAATAGATGCCAGATAGAATACCAGAACGAATGGCAGAAAGTATGTCAGAATAGATGCCAGATAGTATGCCAGAACGAATGGCAGAAAGTATGTCAGAATAGATGCCAGATAGAATGCCAGAAAATATGTCAGAAAAGGTGCCAGACAGAATGCCAGATCGAATGCCAAAAAGAATATCAGAACAGATGCCAATGATGCCAGGTAGAATGTCGTATATATAATATGTACCTTATACTTTCGTATTGCATGTCAGAAACTATGTTAGAATAGTGTGTCAGGCTGGTGATCTTTCGAAGAAATTAATTTGTTTTCCACAGAAAACCCGCAGTGGATCTGAGGTTTGGCGCGATCACAACCTGACGGAGCAGCGGTTAGGGTGGATGGTTGGGAAAGAAATCGACTAAAACCCCACTTAGGTATCTGGTTGGTATCTGTTGGTATTTGGTTGGTGAACTTGACTGTTGGCATTTCTTGGCATTTAACCAGGCGCCTACACGTAAATTCTATCACAGAAACACGGTTACTGCAGATTTCGGTTCCGCAATAACATTGTTTTTTAAATCACCTCCAGCCGCTGGTACGTGCACCATCCACGAAATTGGGATGGGATTTTCCTGGGTTTTCAGTTTTTTAAACATGTCTTACTTGCCATCCCAATCGGGAAAAAGGCACTTCAGTTCACCAATACCTTTTCGAATGAAATTTCCAACAGATGTCGCAAGGGCTAACATCCACGCAGGCCTTAGAGATGTCTCTATCAAAATTTCCAAATAATTTGTTCATCTTAGAACTATGCAATTGACCCAGAACCATAACTTGGCCTTAACGTTTTTGAAAGATTGCAGTACCACCTCTACAGTTGGGCCACCTTTTCAGTTGGGCCAGATGCACACACTTTCGGTGCCAGGAGTGCATGCGGCAGGAGTGGGCACGGGCTAGGTGTCACCGGCACCGGGGGATGGCCTGGATGACCAGTTGCTCTATCTCCGAACATGGTTTGAGTATCGCCGGGTTGCAAATATACTGGTGTTTTTTTCCATTTTGGCCCAATGAACTTTTCATTTCTTGAAATTTGTGGCTTGGCTCCGAGAAAAAATCCAGTGATAATTCCTGGGAAACCCTTGGATTTGATGGTCAAGACGTGTGGTGTGGTTTTTCCCGTAAAAGCAGGTGCCTCTGCTGGATCCAGTCCCAGGAGTTTCCCGAGTTTCTCCCCGACTTCCTTCGATTGCCCGGTGGGATCGAACGTAGGATGCCCAACTGCGTCTCGAAGCTCTGAGGGAACTGAAGAGATTGAAGTGAACATCTGGTTTAACCAGCCAAAAATATGCATGTGGATAATGGATATACGATAAGATACGGCAGTTTCCTGTACATCTCAAAACGTCCTGAGTCAAGTCCAATAGGAGTAGGACTGAGAATATGCGTCAGGCTGCGTCAGGTGATCTGATAGGACAAATTACCTGCACACATGATTTGAACATTCGGAACAGTGAACATCATCCAATACCTGGGACGACAGAAAACACACAAATGGATAACTTGATCAGGTTGTATGATGTTGTATGTCCACGTATTGTCTCTCAGATATCTGATCAGATCCTCCAGTCCCCAAAACTTTGCTGTCCGAGGTTCAGATATCGGCCGCTACTGTGTCATGCATCAACAGGGCGGCATCTACGCAGACTTAGACTACGAGGCCGTTGTCATTCAGAAGAAATGATGGGTGGCGACCAACTGAAAAGCTTTTGGGGCTTGCTCCCTTTGATTCTTCTATTATAGAGTGCTTTTTGTATGCCGCCAATATGATCCAAAATATTCCAAAATGGATAGAATCATGAAATGCAGCGTGGACAAAATTATCCCGGTGGTGGATTGTATGTACAGCCGGGTGCCGTTTCAAGTCAGCAGCTTGAGCAGCACAATGAGAGACAAAACATACAAATATATAGATTCACAACCCACTTGTTTGATCTTGTTTGTTCAATTGATTTAGTGGATGCATCTTTCAATGTGTCCTACTATGTCTACTATATGTTGCCCTATTTCTGTAGTTGAGGTGAGTCTTGACTGGACAATCCGTTTCAAGGAACTTGGAAACGTTCCTTGAAACCATCCCAGGCCACATGCCTGGCAGAATGTTTTCCTATATTGAAACTCGAATTTCCATCGCATCCCAACTCAGCTCCTCCAAAAGGTATTGGTCAATTTCTTCGAAGAGCCTCTTGGAACGCCAGGGAGTTGTCGAGTTGTCATAATGGTCACCGTTGCGGGGTGTAGGCAAGGAAACCCGATAGCTCAACGTGGTGATGAACTGATGGACCATTCATGAAATCCAAGGAATCCAAGGAATTCTCTGCCGTAGACCTCCCGAAAAGGCATTGCTTCCTAACCCTGCTAAACTGCCTGGATGTTCAATGATTTTCGACACAGATATTCGCGTGACTAGGAATCCAGGGATGTGAGCCAAGTGCCAACTTGGAGTTTCTTCCAGATCAGCCTAGTGAAAAGTGGCTGCTGTTGGCGCATCCTGGCACTAAGGCTTCCTACCTCCTTGGTGAGCCTTGTTGAGTGCAGATCAAAGGATCAAGGCTTGGAGGTCGAGAACTCATTGATGGCTGGAGACCCAGGAGTTCTGAAACAAAGACGTGCGGTCCGCAAGGTCGTGCGTTTCATCATGCTGCGGAAAGGAGTCATGTTCCAAGAAAGATGTGCCATTTGGAAGTCTTGTAAGTTGGTAATTGCATGCAGTTGCCGTGTAACTTTGATGCGGGAAACCCACCATAAACCACCGGGAAATTGTGGATGTACGATCCATTTCTGGGATGGTGGTGGTGTCGTGCTGAGGCTTCTCCAGCACGGCATCCCTTTTGGAGGTCTGGGGACCCTGGGGACCCTGGCGACCCGTGATGTGTGTGCCGGTGATGCTCAAGATTTGCCAAGATGCACTTATCAAATGTTGATCATCGTTAGATCTTTAACTTTTTTTATTTACAAACTGTGTATTTATATATATATATATGTATGCAGCCTATGTGTATATATGTGTATATATATATGGTATATATATGTATATATATGTATGTAAATATATATATATATGTAAATATATATATATGTATATATATATATGTATATATATATATATGTATGTACATACATGTATATATATATATATATATACATGTATATTTATAAATTCATACATTCATGCATGCATGCATGCATGCATACATACATACATACATACATACGTATATATATATATATATTTATTTATTTATTGATTCATTTACATATTCATGTGCATATATACATATATACGTATGCGAGCGTGTATGTGTGTGTTGTGTGTGTTGTGCGGCGCGTGTACATGATAGATCACAATAGATGGATCATTATTGGTGTTTCTCCAATGATTTAAGAATGCCGGAGGTTTTTGTTTGGTTGCTTGCATCCTGAGACAACTTGTGACAAGCTCAAGGGCTCAAGGTGACATGGGCTTGACATGTTAAGAAGCACAGGCGTTCTCAGAAGCATTCGGCACTGCCAAGTTGTAGTTAAAGGAGTTGCCGCATCTCAGATCTCATGTCCGCACTCTTCCAAAAACAGCGTCCAACTGGATTCCAGAGTATCTGTAGTGAACATCTACAGGAATATCCCTAAGAATGAGGCTTATTCATTCTTTGTTCCATGATTAAAAAAACATGGTTTCAAACGTAAGTTTCCCTAACAGATCCACAGTTCCCGAGGACGCAACGAGGATTTTTCGTAGCTGGCAGCCATGTGGAGGCTA